GGGCGGCATACAAGACAAATAAATAAAATAAAATAATAAATAAATAAATAAATAAAATAACTTCGGTGGTAAGAAAGGTTGTAAAATAGGGCAAAATTCACTTAACAAATGTTTCACATAGCAACAAAAATGTTGGACTCAATTGTGGGCATCAGTTGAGGACTCCCATATCTCCTTCTAGAAAGCAACACTTGAGCTCCGCCTACTCTGTCCCCTGAGGTAGGATCTAACAGTTATTTTGCTTGTGTTTTTTTCTGAGTAGTACCATTTTTCTTCCAAGTTTGGAAGATAGCAGATAATGAGTATATGGTGATGCTATAGAACCAACATTTTCAGCTTTTTCTTTTCCGTTTTTGTAATCAATCCACAATGTCTAGATCAGAGGTGTCAAACTGGTGGCCCATGGGCTGGATGTGTCATGTGTAGGCCACGCCCATCCCAGCTCTGTGAAAAACATTGCAAAATGTCACGTGGTGGCAACGTGATGCCCTGAGTTTAACACCCGTGGTCAAGACTATTTAGAAATGTCAAAGAAAAAAACTCTTACTTTAGACAATTTATTCTGGATTCAGTTATTTCTGTTATTTTCTTTGTTTCCTCCTTCCAACGATTTGTTGCTTTTTGTTGAGCCATCAACAGGCGTCTAAGTTCAGTTACTGAGTTTTGATTTACATCTTCCATCTCTTTCAGTTGAATTTCAAACCCATGTTCTTTTAGTAAATGCTCATTCTCCATTGTACTTATCTGTTAGAAAAAAATAAGTTTCTTATACTAAAAACATAATTGTTATTCTTTAAAAATCAACCATTGAAAGCTAAATTTCTTAGTATATCTATCAGTAAAGAATTATTGGATGTTTAATTATGGAAATTAATGCAAGATAAAACAATTCATTTCAGATACATTTTGCATTGTGCTCTCTTCTTATGCCAAACAGTCAATAAAACCTCTCTGAGTATGCTTCAATTTAAATAAATTTAATTCCATTGAAGAAATATTATTGGACCATTGGTCGTCCATAGGAAATAATAAAGATTTCTAGATGAGTAATCTTTAATCTTTTACTATGCTCGTTTTTATTTAAAATTCCAGTTTATCTTTGTAACACTCACCCGCACATCTTTATCCTAACAGACTTTATAATTTCTGCCAACTATTATCTATTATTGAAGTACGAATATCTGCAAACCTAAACTACAAAAGAAAAGGATACAACAGTTTACAGAACAAAAGACAAGCATGTGAGCAAGTGGGGTTCTAAAAGAGATTATAAAATATTTAAAAATATCAAAGGAGCCCCGTGTTCTTTAAATTTGCACAAACGTAATAAAATCAAGAAGAAAACCAAGGGAAAAGATTGAAAAGGGAAAATAAATATATCATATAGAAGTCTGAATCATAAATTATCTATTAATAATGCTTCTATTTCCTTGGAGCAATGTAGTGAAAGAAGATGGCAACGAAGTGATAGGCAGCAGGGAAAAAATGAAAACGCTTTCCTAGACGAGTTCAAATCGCCAGGACCAGAAGGATTACATCCAGTGGTGGGTTGCAGGCAGTATGTCCCGTTACGGGCGTACCAGAACCAGCCTGGAGCACCGGATACCGTTCCGGTACAATGCTCCGGAGGGCCTGCCCGCCCGCGCTCCTTACCGGTGTTTAAAGGCTTCTGTGCAGGCGCATGGTATGTAAAGCGCCTGCGTGACACTCCACGGAGCAGCTGGAGCATTGTGGAGGCACTAAGACGCATGTGAGCGCTGCACGCGTCCATGAGGACGCCACCAGCCCTGTTCCAACTGTACCAGTTGGAACGGGATTTGCAACCCACCACTGATTACATCCCAGAGTTCTGAGAAAGCTGGCAGATGTGATCTCAGAACCGCTGAACCATAACTTTCAAAGATTCTGGAAATCCAGGGCACTACCAGAAGACTGGAAAAGAGATGGTTGCCATCTTCAAAAAAGGGAAAAAGTGGAGCCAGGAAATTCAATACCTGGGAAGATCCTAGAAAATATAATCAGGCAACATATCTGCAAACATCTAGAAGCAAGCAAATCTATTACCAAAAGCCAACATGGACTTGTCAAAAACAGATAATGCCACAAATTTTATTGCATTCTTTGTCAAATGACTGATATCACTGTAAAAGTCCATTTGAATTCATTTTTAAAAGAGGTTGTGAGCTAACACTGTCTTGTTCCTTGCAGGTTCAAATCCAAACAACTTGCATCAATTCTGAAGTATTATATAAAAAACAATAAGGTAGACCATAACCTATTACTAGATAAAGTAGAAGAATGTGGGTTAGACAGCATCACCACCAGATGGATT